AAAACATGTGACATTTAAAAAAATACCAAGATGATGACAGCAGAAGGAGAGGTACCGTAGTGGAAAGTCTCAGTCTGCCAATGGTTTCAGTCAGGGCTGTGACACCCAAACTGGGGCTGCAACTTCAGCACATTCTCCGTCACTGAGATCTCTGTCCAAGACACTCTGTAGAGCGCCGGCACCGTCTCACATGCATGACAGTCCACACATGCCTGCTCTGGTGCTTTTTCCAGGAAGTCATGGTGTTAAAGAAACGACTCTCCCTTAAATCAGGATCTCTGACGTTGCTGTGATGAACAGTAACATCTTTAGGTCTTCTAACTTCTCCTTCCTTGTTTTTAGTCTCTTTGCTCTTTTTATTTAAACATAATGCAGGCTTATAGCTAGCAATGCATGCAGTCTTACATTGTACGGCCTTTACTATAAAATGACAAACTGTTTGCCCTGGTTTTGGGATGTACAGCTTTGGTATGCACTATTTTACCCTTGAAACATTACTCAGATATAAAAGATTTCCCCAGCAGCAGCTGCTGGAGTTGGAAAATTTTAAATTTAGCTGCTGGACGAGGCGCCACATCAACCAATCAGAGAAGCTGATCTGGGAGCTGGCAGGGAGTCAGACACAGCACTGCTGATGCAGAGCGCTATGATCACTCCTCTGAAGCAGTTTATTAACGCCTAAATTAACTTAAAATGTAGAAACCTGCTGGCAAAATATGTTTGATTTTATTATCCTGGTGCCTGCAGTTTGGATTACGTACATGCAAAACGTTAACATCTACTTCCAGCCGCCACCAACAGTAGGGGAAAACCTCCAAGAGGTGAGCGGGCCTGAGGCAGCTGCTGCTGGGGATTCCCAGTGACAGCGCACCGCCGGTATGTGGGGGTCTGAGCGGCTCCCACAGAGAAATAATCTTTGAAGGCAGGATGGTAATCTGGATGAACTGACTGCACAGACCATGTTTTCAGGAGGACTTTCTCACTTCAACATAGATTCAAACTACTTTCTACGCACTGCAGGAAATATAGC